TTTATATTTTCATTTCTGTTAAACTGGCATCACTTTAGTTGAAGCCTTTATCATGCAAGACTGGATCTACTGACTTTCTCAATCTATTCTTTGCTACCCAGAGTCAGAATGATTTTGCTTCACTGCTTGTTTAGAATGCCTTTTCAAAAACCTTCAGGAATTTATGATTGCCTCCAAGATATTATTCTAACTTTTTTGACATTCAAGTCTTCTAAACAATTCAGCTTACATACACTATTAAAGTATAACTTTATTATATTTCATTTAGCCACTGTGTCAAGTTCTTATTATTATCATTGACTCCTTACAGCAATCCCATAAGGTAGGATTATATCTGCATTTTATAGACAAGGATAGTAAGGCCTAAAGTTGATTGGTTAGCAAATGGCAAAAGTGAAATTGGAAATTGAGTTTGCCTAACACATAAGTCTCATTTCTTAATCAAACTAATCCTCCAAATTGATCCTATTTGCCTCCAGCCAGGTTGGTTTCCTTATAGTCCTAACTATATTTTATTCAGAATTGATTTCAAGTTCATATTAGAACATTCACGAGGAATTCCTTTTCCCCTTCTCTTAGCCTTTCTAAATTTCGTAACATTTTCCAGTAATCACTCACTGACTTATTTATTCATTTGCTAATATTTATAAACTAATACATCGGAATCTTCTTTGTAAGGTATCTCCCAGATATTGTAGATGCTGTTTATCTCTTTCTTCTTTAAATGATAAGATCTAGTATCTGAGTACTCGCATTTGCTTTGAGTCAGACATTACTTTACAACATGATCTCTGTAATTCTTCCTCTTCGAGGGTAACAACTATGTTTTAGAGTACTTTATACTATATTCAGTCCTAATGCAGGGCAATAATTATAGTTGTTACGCAATAACTACATAAGAAGTGATATAACAGTGAATTAACCTCATGTGCTACTTTGCAAGCAACCCATTAAAATAAAAGAATAGTGTTCTGGGCAATGAAAGGGAATCCTTCAACTATGGCCACTAATGGATTTTGGGAAGACATGATACAAAGTATGTGTCAAAACCAAACAAAACTATACAAAACACTTCAAAACTGCCTATTAAATGTTGGCAAGTGGACATAAAAATATTGATACTAGCTATCTTTATGAATAATTGCAGACAATTTGGTCCATTGCATAAACAAAATAATCTTAGGAGATATTTCAGTGAGATTATAGATAGCTAACCACTTTGTGCAGCCAAACAAGGAAAGAACACAAAATGATAAAAGCAAATGCAACTTTGTTGTTAATATCAAGGGAAATGTGATACTCCTAACTGAACTTCAAGATAAAGATCCTCCATAATGGATTTTTATAAATCAATTCTATCACCTTTAGAAAATAATTCTGTTGGCCAGGCACGGTGGCTCATGCCTGTGATCCCAGCACTTTGGGAGGCCAACGGGTGGATCATGAGGTCAAGAGATTGAAACCACCCTGGCCAACATAGTGAAACCCTGTCTCTACTAAAAATACAAAAATTAGCTGGCAGTGGTGGCGTGCACCCGTAGTCCCAGCTACTCAGGAGGCTGAGGCATGAGAATTTCTTGAACCCGGGAGATGGAGGTTGCAGTGAGCAGAGACTGCGCCACTGCACTCCAGCCTGGAGACAGAGGAAGCCTCCATCTCAAACAAAAAAATTAATTTTGTTATTAAATTTGCTACTTAGAATAATATATCTTTATTTTAAAAATTAAAAATCACATTTATTACCAATAGATACTAAGCGTCAACTCTGGTTTAAGATTTACTTCACTGCGTATTTTGATATGTATTTAACTCACTAAATATATCTATTTAAACTTCACATACAAAGACTATAAATTTTCCACTAAATTCTTGAGAGTGAAAATTAAAAAATAAAAATAAAAAGTTTCAACTTTCTTTCATTTAAGGTTTCAGATTCCTTAGCAGGAGGCCAGTATTTGGGTTACTCTTATCACTTAAAATGTGTTTTAACCGATCTTACTTCACCTACCAGAGCTTTTGGCCTGGATTTTGTTTAGGATAGAGAACATCACAAATTAGAGAGGAAACTTGAATAAAAGCAATGCTGCTTGTAGAAATAGGGATTACAAACTAACAGTACTCCTTACAGAAACAGAGATTACAAGCTAATGAAAGGAAGCCGAGCTTTTCAGTCAATGTTCAGCTATATGGGGGCTCACCTCTATGAGAATGTGTAGCTTTTTTGTTACTCTCTGAAAATAGTTGTAGCCTAAGAATTCTAAATCCATGAATCTTTAAATATTTTAAGTTTAGGAGATTCTAAGATTCTGCTTATTTTGAAAGCAACAGGGCTCATAATCATATTTCAAAATAGAAATATATTCTAATGCCCATATTTTAAACAACTCAAAAAGTTTAAATTCTTTTTTTTTTTTTTTTTTTGAGACGGAGTTTCGCTCTTGTTACCCAGGCTGGAGTGCAATGGCGCGATCTCGGCTCACCTCAACCTTCACCTCCTGGGTTCAGGCAATTCTCCTGCCTCAGCCTCCTGAGTAGCTGGGATTACAGACACGTGCCACCATGCCCAGCTAATTTTTTGTAGCTTTAGTAGAGACGGGGTTTCACCATGTTGACCAGGATGGTCTCGATCTCTTGACCTCGTGATCCACCCGCCTTGGCCTCCCAAAGTGCTGGGATTACAGGCTTGAGCCACCGCGCCCGGCCTAAGTTTAAATTCTTAAAAGAATCTCACCTACATTTGTTTCCAGTGGCGTTAATACTAGAACATATTACACATATTACATGGTCATTCAATTATTTGCTACTTGTCAGAAGTTTACCTTAAGCTATTAGTTTGGACACGTCCATGAGCTATTTTAAATATACTTAATAAATTGAGTGCAAGTACTATAAATCAATGCTCTTCACTATACTAAGCAACAAAACAGAAAAATGGTGTTTTCATTTCAATGTTCTGGTATCAAAAAGACCTAAGTTACTGTAGAACTACCACCAATTGTTTCCCTGAGTGAGATTTCTATGAAGTATTTTGTAACAATTCAAAGTACAATAAATCTTCCTGATAAATGCCCACGTGAACCTCAAATTCTAATACATAAATAGCTCACTAACAATGTTGTGACAATTTCCTTCTTTTGTGTGACTGCTTCAGTGGAGATTCCATATGTTTGGCATCTTAAAATTCAGGATGAATAAATTAAGAAAAAGAATAAATAATGTGATTCAAATATATTCTGTACTTTTTATTAAAGAAGACAGTGAGTGAGAAAGTAAAAATTAGGTTTTATCAGACAACAAAATATGCTATGTGCTAAAAGTTTAATGCTTAGGTTTCTTGATTTAATGACCATTATAATATACTTATCTACATAAATAGATATTGTTTTGATATGAAAATGAAGTTCCTATTTTGTGGGTCTTTTCATGTAGTTCCTAATCACATAACTACTATTGTTCCTGCTCAGAAAACAATAGCCTCTAACAAAAATATTACTTTGGAAAGGATTTTCTTTAATTACATGCTCTAACACTTCGACTTTAAGGATATGCAAGGCTTCTAAATACATTTGTAACAAAATGGCAGACCTGTATTACTGAAAGATGATGACTCTTTATTTTTTGGCAACGAATTGCCTAAATTCTCACTTTTTTTTGGTACTTACTTTTTCTCCCTTCTTAGGAATTTTCTTCTTCTTGAGCCCCAAGTGTCTCTGTTACCTGATCTTAAAACTTTTCTAAAATCTACTTAAGTCACACAAGATCTAGCCTCTCTGGAGGAAAATGATAATGAATAATTATTGCTGAACAGGATCTAGAAGCTGGTGCATTTCATAATTCATATGGTCTGCTTTTATTCTACTGTCTTAATTTCCAGATGCTTTTGATCTAGTTTTTAATTTAATTTTTATTTATTTACTTTTTTTGAGACAGGGTCTCGTTCTGTCACCCAGGCTGGAGTACAGCGGCACCATCACAGCTCACTGCAACCTCCACCTCCCAGGCTCAAGCAATCCTCCCACCTCAGCCTCAGCATGAGATAACAATCATGCATCACTATGCCCAGCTAATTTATTTTTTATTTTTGCAGAGATGGGGTTTTGCCATGTTGCCCAGGCCAGTCTCAATCTCCTGGGCTCAAGAGATTCACCAGCCTCGACCTCCTAAAGTGCTGGGATTACAGGTGTGAACCATTGCACCTGCTTCTGGGTGCTTTTTAAATTCTCTCACTTGTTTCTCCTCTTGGTTTTCCTTTATGGAAAGACCAGTTTGAAAGAGAATACCAAATGTAGGAAATATTAATGATTTCTATGGACAACAACACAAAAAGTGAGAGGTTATACTGAAAACCATTAAAAGAAATATACAAGAGGCCTGGGAAGAGGGTGTATAAGCATGGAGAGATGATGCTCAAGACGTTTCCTCCCTTTCCTCCTATTTTTCTAACCACAGTTTTCCTTTGGCACCTTAAAAATCTCATTAAGTTTGTATAGTTTCAACCCAAAAGTCCAGCGTGATCATATTTCCAAATATATATCTTTAAAACAGTATTAGTCGTTAATTTTATTAATTTTTTCTTAATAATGATATTGTTCTATATAGAAACACTTTGGATTTTAGTTTTAACATTTTTGTGACCACTATGGTTTGACTGATAGTAACGATGTATATTCTACAAATAGAGAAATTGACAGCTGATAAAAATTCCCTAAAACCTATGCAACTATGTAAGCCTTAATGGAAGACTGGTACTAACATTTAATGATGATAGAAAACATAAATGCATTAGCACATAACTGATATGACTTGTGTGAAGGTTTTTATTTTTTCCTGCTATAACATTTGTTTAAGTGAATGTTCAGATAACTGGCAAGCTGATTTCCTTATGCTGGTGGGTTAAAAAATATAAATGTATAAAGAAAAAGGGATTAAAAAATAGGTGGGGGAGGGGTTTCCTTCAAATGGATGGAAGCCATTCCTTTGAAAGAAAACTCCCCTCTTACCTTGGTCCTGGAGCTGGTTAGTTCTCCTCTGTCCTCCTCCTAGGGGAGAAATACCCAAAGTTAAACAATAATAGAACATGGTCTTGTATTAAAGTCAAGTTCAGTTCTGGTCAACCCTTTCCTCAGGTCTCACAAGACACTACCAAATGTCTGATATACTGGGACTTTCACTAGATTGAATTTAAGACCCATTTAAAAATTAAGCCAAAGGGGAATGGACATTAGCTGTGTAAGAGGAAAATAATATTGTCTGCCCTTCAGTCTGCCTTGCCAGAGAGCTCTAATACCTTGAAGATTGGCTTAGAGTAGGAGTTCACAGAAGGACATTGCTTGGGTAATTTTTGTCAGCTGGAATGGATAACGGAGGGTACATCATGGGGAGCACCTGGAGTTTCTCAGGAAGGATGGGTATGCTGGGGTGTTCTCAGCGCCTCTCCTTGACGTTCTTTTGTCTTTTGAGGGTAAAACAATAGAGCTACAAGCAGCACCATATTTGAAGCAATATTAAATCTGATATGAACAATAATTATTGTGAAAATAAAAAAAGAGTTAAAGGATCACTAGATAGGAGAGCTAGAAAAATGTCTGGGAAATAGATATTATTAGACACTATGTACTTATATTTTTTCACACTGGGAAGTGGCAGGATGAATAAAGATGGGATTTTTTTTTTCTTAATTTGTTTCTAATTAGGATTCTGTGTATTTGGAGAGAAACAAGGCAACATAGTGAGAGGCTCATGGGCTTGAGACCCAGACAGAAATGGGCTCCAGTTGCACTTCTGTCACTCATCAGCTATTTAACCTGAGTTGCAGCAGCAGCAGCATTTGTCCAGATGAAGATAACAGCACCAACTACAAGGAGTTAGGGGCATCAAGTTCCAGTATACATGGGCATGGTACATAGCAGTTACTAAATTTTTATTTCCTTTTTATTTTTTTCATTTATGGATTCTCTGATATGATGTTTTCTTATTTGAATTACTTCATCTCTGTTGAGGCTACTGTTTAAATAACAGAGCTTAGAATCAAGTCTTAGTTACCCTTTGGCATAATTTTAGAGATGGTGGGTGTTTGGCTCCCATAAAAAACCAAATACCAGACAATTGATTGAGTTCTGTGAGACATGAAGGAGAGTGGAGACCAAGAATGAGCCTGAACCCATACAAGATCATGTGCTATTGTTATTTAACTTTGGGTAACTTATTAAAATTCTTCATCAAGTAAAATGACATCAGGTGAGATAATGGATGTACTTTGGAACCTCAGTTTGTCAAAGTTATGCCAGAGACATCGAAATAAAGGATGTTGTAATCATTACTCTAACAGCCATTATGAAAATGTGCAGGGAAAAAACACTTTATGGAAGATTCTATGTTATATAATGATATCTTTCTCCATCTACTACTATTATCATTTATTTAGTGTTAGATTTATTCTATGAACCTCATTCATCTTAAAGTTTCATGATATAAATATGGCATAATAGAATTCCTCCAACTACAATATATGTGTTTTCCTTTGTGTTCTTCCTTGGTACTTTAACTTCATTCATTGTTTTTCATAAATATTCTAAACATGGCTATTTTGACAAACCAGCCCTTTTATCTACTACACACTATAAATTCCAAAAAAATATATATATAGAGAGAGCATTTCCTGTTTTCAGAAACAAATACATGCAGAGATGTTAAAGCTGTGCTTAAAATGGGGGGGAAAAGTAAATTGTATTTTATGAAACACCTATTTCATCCATGGTAGTCATTAATATGGGAGTTTTGAAGAAAATATCTTTATATTTAGAAATGATCTGGGAATCTATGAATAAGAATACCTATAGGTACATTGCCTGGATTGGGTAAAATTACAGTGGCTGCAAAGTCTTCATGCTTCAGGGCATAAAGTGACTGCTATTTGTGATGAGGAGAACAATGAAAAAGAAATTAGGTGGTGCTGAAGTTGTTAGGGTTATTATGATGCCCTTAGTAATCACCTTCTCAACTATTTCATATCAAAACACCACAGGCTACCACATTATGTGCATCAATTTTTAAAATCATATCTAGATATGGAAATAGAAGTTTTGTTCTAAAAAAAATCAAAACATGTCCTTTTATGGGCCTGTGCTTCACTTTTGCTGTTTTATTCCCCCTTTTGTATAATGTAATGAATTTTGTCAGATCTTTACTGTGCCAAAAATTTGATGCAGCGTACAATTTTGAATGTCTGTTTTTATAGGCATAGGAGACTTGCATTTATTTCTAGCTATGTTGGTTCTTACAGAGGAGTGGTTTCCTTAAATAGCTTTCAATTTCACAAGGAAGACAGACTGCAATAAAAGCAGCTATTTACTGAAGAAGTGACTGACTTAAAATTCCAAAACCAGCTGAGTTTTTATACAAGTTCTGATAGTGAATTTTTTCTCAGTCATATTAAGTGTCTGCAACTTCAAAGAAATATGATAATTTTGTTGTTTTGCTAAAGAGGGCTTAGGGTAAGACTCAGAATCTCAGATTCTCAAAGTGGGAAGGGAATAGAGATGTCATCATCACAGTTTCATGTCCAAGAGATGTGAGAATCTCTTCTACTTTTACTTGAACAAGACTGATGTCAGGGATGATAAGCCAATTGGGGAAGAAATTTTAATTGTAAAATCTTTCTTTGTGCTGACCTGAAAGCGACATAATTTTTTCAACTCAAGAGTTTATCTAGTTTTTAAAATAAGCTAAAATTTATGGAAGTTGAGCTCCTATGTGGATATTTTCAATATGCTTTGAATTTATATGTTGCCAAAACTGCAGCATGAAAGCATCACAGAAACTGTTTAGTAAGTTTTCAGAGTGAATCTATGTTTATATTCAAAGTCCTTTTTGATTCTTTTCCTCTAAGAGCACTAGAGAGAGTCAGAAGATCTAATTTCTAGTCTTAGCTGTGGGACTATGGGCAAGTCACTTAAATCTATTATATAGTACCTTCCTTTATAACAAAATGACATCATAAAAGGGTTTAACACAGCAAGTACAAGAATATATATGTGAAATATATAGTTTTATATTTCAAAAACTATAATGCTGAACTGTACTATTATTGTTTCACTTAAATATGCTGCTCTGTAATTTTTGGTGTCTATATGAGCCAAATTTAAGCATAATCTTTTAAAAATGGACAATTTGGAAAAAAATTAAATGACGTATTTAATTAATTCTATGGCTTATACAATATTATTTCTGTATCACTTAGTAGAAAGCAACTCTTTTTTTTTTAATTCCTATGCCCTTTTTTCCTCTGGGAAACAATCTGAAGTCAACTTTTCCTGGACCCTATTTGATTCTATTTACCTCTGACTAGCTTCAAATATAAGCCAAAGGTTAGGGGACTGTTTTAGGATTCTGAATACATGGTTTCATTTTAAATTTCTTCACGCTTTTTAAGAAAAAAAAAAAAACAACTTTTTATGTTAAAGGCACTAGCAATGCAAAATAGCCATACTTGCTAATAATGCTTTTATGATTTTTTTTTAATGGTTCTAGTTGCAAATGCCTGAAAAGATGAGAATTTAGGGGCTGGGGAGCTGATGATGTCTTTTCTTAGTTACTAATAGGATTTTCACCTGTTACTGTTTCAAAAAGAAATATTCTGAAGCCGCATATCTATCAGGACCAAATAAAAAACAATCACTACTCTGTAACAGCAGAGGCCCTGCTGGTAGCTTTTGCCAGTTTTTATACAGTCCTCCGTACAGTGAAGCAACAGTAGAAAGGGGGCTATATACTCTCATATTGCCTTTGAAAGTGGGAAGCTGTTTGTTTCACATTTGTTTGATTGACTCCAGTTGAATTCTCATTCTGGCTAACTCCCAAATATTTAGCACTTAAAGAAAACAGATTAAATTTTTAACATTTCTATAAAAACTTAACTGTGGGTCAATTTCTTCATTGAATACCCCAGAATTAAAAAAATAAAGTTCAATAAAATCTAGTTTATTTCAACATGATATAATACTACTTTGTGTGGTTGATGGCATTTAAAATGATATTGTTCTCTAACACTTCAGTATCGTGTACATTGAAAGGTAGAGTTACATACTAGGGGTATTGTTGTGTCTTTAAATTTTCTTTATTTTTGAATTGTTTGATATTCAAGATGTATATTAAAATGGCTTCACAAACTTTTTGAAGGTATATTTCATTCTGTGGACACCTTAACAAATATTTTTAGATTTTCATAAAGTATGAAATTTGTCCATTGAAAAGAAACTGTGTTCAATCATAAAGACTTTTGTGATGCTAGGGAGGATAAACAATATGTTCACAATATTTCTAACTAATGGTAATGCAAAACTTATTCACAAAATCTTCTCATAATCAACATTATGCTTGTTTCTGAGAAGGCTCAAGACTAGGGTTAGGTTTTCTGAGGAGCTGAATAGCGATTTTCTATTCAGGTGCTGCCAGGTGATGTATGATACTGTATATTTGTGTCAACTATCTCAGATGTATGTTATTTCATTCAGAAAACAGTTAAATGATTGACTGTTTTGGAGAGGAACAAACATTAAAATAGATGAGCTACAGTTTTTACTTTTTAGCGAAATTAAAATAGAATATATTCTAAACCAGAGTCATTGCTGTTCTCCAGCTCATTCTAAATGACTGCCAAACTATTTTGTCTTTCTTTTATTAAATATGAATTGTAAACTAGCACAATCCTGGTTGACGCTATCTTTAGAGACAAAAGGAAGCAGTTGTGGATGAGTGCTTTCCCATATACTGTGCTGAAACAAAAGAGTACATTTTCAGTTTTGCAGAAAACCATTATTTATTTATGATGTACTAAGTAAATGTTTATCATTAGCATAAAACTACATTAAAGCAGCATCATATGCAATTCTTCACTGAAGGGTAGATTATAAATCCACAATAAAGTGAGCTATTTATAGTATTGTATTATAGGCATTTTGGATTTTTATGGTAAACCTGATTACCATAACTCCCTCCAAAGCTCTGTTGTGTGTGTGCGCCTGCATGTATGCGTCTAAAA